ATCTCAGAGGCTTCCAAAAATATAGAACAAATTTTTAATTACACCAGAACCATTAATTATGCACTGGGAAGTACAAATGTTACTTGTGTTTTTTTTCACAAGTACAATATTCTTTCCATCTCTGGAAATACTGGCTCTGAGGAAGAATTTTGGTCCAAGAGCTCAATATTTCATCCTGCAATGCCCTACATGTAGTTAGCAGGAGATTGTTACCAATGTTCCTTATAAACTCAGCATGGAATGTTTCAACAGTTAACATGAACAAATAGTCAGGATCCAAAATGGCAGTCGGAATCGTGTACATATATGTGGAAAGCAACATTCAAGTACGTCACAATGCACACTAACATAGGATGGGTGACTTATGCTGATTTCAATTATGATGTAAAGTTGTCCAACAAAAGTAAAACGTCTTTGTATATTCTTCAGCAGGCAGTGAGGGAAAAATCATTTCTATGACAGTGGATATCATCAGACATTAAAAACCTCCTCCTGATGTCAGTAAAATTGATCTCACTCTATGGAAGATGTGGACACCCTAACAGTCCTCAACCCTCCAATTTCAATATGATTTTACATATACCCTAAGAGGTTAGGGTCAACGAAATATATATCCCATACAGACAAGACATTTCTAAAGCACATTTTCACTGAGCATAAAAACTGAGACAAATTTAATACAAAATCATAGCACCTGCACAATGTGTGTTAGACTGATTCTGGCCAATAAAAATGCACCTGATGTGTTGTCTTCATATCATGCATAAAGTTTAATTTTCTGATTTTTAAAATGACAATAAGCACATTCTTCCACAGATTCTCAGAGAACATGATACATATGTTTACCTTAAAAACAAAAGTTTGTATGTCCAGGCCCTCTTGAAAAATGAAATACACACTTATGAAATATATATGAAATAATGGAAGGAAATTTCAATCAAATTAGCATTATATACACTTGGCTCTTATTTTCCAAAAACTGTGCTATGAATGAGGACTGTAGGTGTGGAACGACCAGTTATTTAATAAAACTGTTACATGTACATACTGTACGTATGTCAGTAGACTGACATTTTAGTGCAGTGTTTCATTGTAAAGATTGCAACTTATCAAATCCTCAAAAACTTAACAATTTAATTTTCACAGAGTTGAAAAGAAATTGAAAAAGCCCCCCCCCCCCGAGTTAGATTGTTCCTGTTCTTTCATGGTAACTGTGTCACATTATTAGTTACAAACTTTAAATATTCACTGTAAGGGCACAGCATTGAGCATTCCAAGTGGGGAATCAACAAACAATTTTGACTAAATCCAGCTTCTTTTGGAAGTTCTGTATCATGATATTTCAAGATATGCACAAAAGTGCTTGTGCTTGATGCCATATGTATGTGTAGGTTAGCAGTGTTGTACCACACCAGCACAACTATTAACTTGTGTGTTGATGCTGTGCATCGAAAATGTGAAGTTTCTATGCATGAGGATCTCCCATGGAATGCGTTAAAAAGGTGCTTAAGTTCCCTTGATTACTTCCTGCATGTATCTTTATTATGAGAAACTTGCTGACTGTATGGTACATGAAATATGCACTGTACATACATGTACATGTAGTACTCATAAAGACTGGTATCTGGTCGAAAATCAGATTGGGTTATACATGTACATTACATGTGCATCACACTTGCAGAAACATGTTCTATAGGGCTCCAAACAAGTGAGAGCTACATGTACATGTACAATGCACAGAAATGAAAATCTCTGAAATATCCCATAGGGCTTGCTGATGACAAATATGGATCAATCTACCGGTACACTGTGTATAGCGAGATCTCGTACTGGATGGACAGAGCTGTCAAACCTTTACAAAGTCATTTCAGAGAGCAACAAATGTAGTTCATCTCATGAAATCTATAGATTTTCTGAGGCTGATTTCCCCCTTTGTCATTGTGTAAAAGTAACATCAAATCACTGCTGTTGTAATGCTGACACATGAAACCACGCCTCCTATTTTCATACCATCCTATGGTCTTGTCTTTCCAGCATGCATGATACACAAAAACACAGCAAGGTTTTAAAGACACAGTCCATCATTTATCAGATGTGCATTATGCTCGTTTGAGACATTACTTACATGTACATATGCATGTAAAATCTACAGAAGGGTATCTAAGAACAAACCTTATTAAGTTTCAGCTTAGTCAATACTGTATATGTATGTATATCCCAAGGAAACCAATACATGTATTCAAGGATTTCAAAATTTCTGATCTAAAATGCTCAGTCATGTTTTGAATACCATCTAAATTCGGCAGGAGACACACATCCTCGCCTTCAGTAAAATGCAGCTACATGTATGCCATGTCAAGCACTGAACTGACAATTTATACATGTAGTACCTGGACATATATGTCATGCCACCACTTGTGTGTGCTTCTAATAGAGGCAATTTTCCAAAAATGTGTGTATAGGCACATCCTTGAAAGGGCCTTCGTGGATATCTTCTTCAAATGACAGCTTGTTAGAAAGACTAATTTCACAGGCAGTATCGTTCAATAACCACTTCCAACCAAGTACGGTTTTCAACAATAATTTCATCTGTAACTTTTGGACAGCTGCAAATGATGGACTGTACCTTTAGATCTGCACTGGTTGGCAGCTCTGAATGATCATCCCAACATCAATTTAAGTCTGAGCTACGTACATGACGTACTGTACATATTATTAACAGTAAAGATGATCTCTGTTTATTTACTTCAGTGCTTGCTCAATTTGTTTCAGGCTTCTGAACTTCTTTGGGACAACTTGCCCCAACAGACTGAAGCAGTCAACAATAAGAGAATCAAGTCCTCATCCAGTACATGTGGGCACAATTTCAGTCCCTATGCTTTCTGCACGTATACAGCGCATTCTTTTAAAATGATAACTTTCTGATCTGGTTCCTTCATAAAAAAGCTTTTCAAAATCAGCTAAAGCAGTCAGTTTCAGTTGAAGTATGACACAACATCTGAGCCATGTTAGTACTGAAACTACATGTAGTTTTGGGGGGAGGGAGAGGCCAAACTCATGCACAAGAAACATGTAGCTATTTTGCCCTACATTTAGAGCTGCCTCTCTTTCAAAATCTAGTAGTTACCTACACTGACCAAACTCTGTCCTGATCAATCTTCACACAACACACAGTCCTGCTTGAACTGTGTGAGCTCGAAGAATGCACACTGGTAAAATCATAGGGTGAGGGGGAAGTTAAATGTATGAGGCCATATGGAGAAAGTCAATTGCATATGTTGCTTGTAAGCCGAACATCTTTGGCTGGCCAGTCTATCGCTTCTCCAAGGACTTCATGTTTTGGATGAGTCTTGGCAGAGACAACAATCCAGAACTTAGAACATTATGACAAACGGGGAGAGGGAAGATACATGTAGATGTAGGTTTTTCAAGTGACGTAACATGACAGGCAAAGGTACTGTACATGTATTTCACGAACCATACCATGTCTGTGGAGGTGCGTACATAATCAAATCTGTGTGTTTCTATTGACAGTTTCATGTGCATCAGAATGTTCGAAGGCACATGTTTCTATGCACATCGGTGTACATGTAAATTGAAAGCTGACCGGTTACAAATCACTGACTGAAAATCCTTACACACACAATCGAGTGTGTATTTGCCTGCAACTGGGGACCCCCTATTGTTCCTCTTTTGTTCGTACTTTAACTGTTTTAGAAGACCACCCATAAGTTTTGTACACAGTTGTCAATCGGGGACCCTCTGTCAATCGGGGACCTTATTGTCCTCTATTGTTCAGGGTCCCCAATTGAAAGGAGAAACAAACTCTCACACACAGACTTAAAATGGCAACTGGAAGAAGCGTGCTTTGTCCACTTCGTTCAAGTTGAATCATCCACTGCATTTCAACATTTTTGCTACCATCATCTTGTGAAAAGAAAGTTCCAGTGCAAATGGCTAGAAATACATCTTCATGAAAGTGTATTAAATATAACCAATTGCCATGCCAAAAACATTCTGAGGGAAGGGTCACTATTTACACAGAAATTTGTATGTGTACATGCATTTCAATGTAAAACAACAACCAAAAAAGACTATGTGCTTTCGTTTCCTTCTTTAAAAGGGCAAATACAAGTATTTTAAAATTGATGTTTGTCAGAGATGCCACAGGGTCTATTCAATAAAAGGAACTGGTTTAATTGTGGCAAATAACGTCCAAGCATATGACCAAGCTTAGTGAGCATAACAACCGGGGTTCTCTTCTCTTACAGCCATGTCTGGTTGCACTTACTTTCCACCTTTGATTCCATGTGTTTTAAGTTGTCCGTTCTTTCTAAAATTTTCAGTTTTTCGATATTTTTTACTCTAAACTGTGCACTATTACATTACAGATATCCATGGACAGCTTGTCCTGCGAAACACAAGTGCACGACCATGATATACTGTAGTTGGTTCAAGGCTTGTTATATACATGTGCAATATTCCTTTTCATAAAATCAATGTGATTTGGGATCACTGACATGGTAGTCTTGAATTCAAGGCTGTGTGATAAATGTTCTCTGCACGCTAGCCACCCGCATACAGTGCACGGTAGAGTACACATGAAATTGACTCACACGAGGTGGATGTTCAGTTACATGTAACCACACCTTGCAGTACTTGGTATGCCTTGTGCTGCTGAAATCTCGGTCATTTTGACAATCATAAAGGCATGCAGGTGCAGGTAGTGCACGCTGCTTCGCATGCAAGCTTGGCAACCTTGTTTTTAAGGCTACTAAACGGCAGAGCTACATGTACACATGTGAGCACGTGAATGCAGTGCACGACCGTCACTGAACACAAGACCCACAGGTGAAAGTAAACACATTACCATTTGTGCTTTGTTTTCCGGCTGTTTGTTTTGAGTCGGAAGGGAAAAAAGGAAAAACCGAATTTCCGGGGAGGGGGGTCTGTAAAAAAAATGGACATCCGGATAAAACCGCAAAAGAGGCATCTCTGGGTTATGTTGGCGCAGCCATGCAGTATATGTACACATACATGGAGACATCTAACTGATCAAAACACAGAAACAGTGCAAAACTGTAAAATCCTCGCATAAACAGGAGTACTAGAAATTCTCCTTGTCAATCATGGGCTCATACTTCCCAACAAGTCGGGTGGGTGTGCCACTAGCCTGTGTCCTTCGAGATCCAACTTTGCTGTATGTGATCACATCATTTCCCATGAGCAGCCGGGCAGCAGGGTCATCCCTTTCTAGGTTGCGAGTAGACAAGGGGGAACGAGGGGGTACTGAGTGGGTTCCATTGATCTTGGCTTTGATTGATTTTGTCAAACTGGGTCTCCTGGATTTTTTGGATGGTCCTGCAAACAAGATGACAGAAAATACAAGTCCTCAGTATTTGCTTAAGCATTTCTTTTAATACCGTATTTTGCCTATTAATACATGTAACTAACTTCAGCTAATCTGAACCTGCTAAATTTTTACACAATTACACAGTGAAGAATAAGATCCCATTTATGGTGTTCTCTACCAGTAAACCAGGTTCACATTGCAACAGTTATTGCTCAATGTAAAGGGCATCATACAGGTACACGTACATGTAGGCCGTTCAAGAACATTGGTGACGCTCTATACACTGCTTCTCACACACTGAATATGTTCGAAGTGCCATGATGTAGGTGACTTCAGGTGCTTTGTTCTCAAATGACCTTGCCTTTATCACATACATGTAGGGTTGGCCCATTTGAACAGGCATGACAGGTGTACAGTGTAACTACATGAATGTACATGTACACAGGGAAGCTTTAACTTTAGACACACATGGCATACCCTTCACTGTAATTGAGTGGCGCACGTGTGCTTTCCACAATGGTACTGTTACCATGGCCGAATCTGAATTACAAGGCTAAGGCTGGGAATAGTGGCAGCCACTTGGCAAGTATATGCAGCCATTTTATTTGGATCCATGTGTAAATGACTGCATATTGAGCTCTGGGTAACACTGCTGGCCATGTAAAACTTTGAAAATTCCAGATGTACATGTACATGTACGTGTAAAATGTTTATACATGTACATGTATGGCAAGGAGAACTCCACTACCACTTTCTATCAGTGCTTTTATGTTCAAGTACATGTACATTTACTCGTACACAAACAGGAACATGTACATACATGTACATGTACATGTATGCTGCACAGTGTGCAAAAGTATTCAACTCACAGTGGAATGTTAAACAACTGGAATTTGGTTGTACATGTATTTACTGCTCACCCTTTGCGCTTCATGTGCATGTAAATGTGGTCCACTCCAGTCAGAACAAAATTCCCAACCCAATAATAGTATAGTACATGTACATGTATTTGTTTACATTAACCCTAACACTCCTCAATCCTTCACCTGTTGGAGGATTGAGGAATGTTAGGGTTAAGATTTCACAAAGTGCTGACTTTTCCCATTCTGCACATGTGTGCACCTGTACACACAGGTACACTGTATGAGCTGTTATGTACTTGCACAGGTACATACGTGTATACTCTAGATGTACATGTACTGTGCGCATGCCAGTAGTGATGCTGATTTTTTTTTCCATGTACATGTACCGGTACAGTACATGTACATATACATGTACATGTAGTACTCACACCCACATGTACATGTACTTGTACATGTATCTGTACATGTAATTGTGGGAGATGTACATGTACACATGTCATGCACATTCATCTTATCACCTCAGATTTTCCAGATTTGTCTTTAAGATGTCATTAGGTGTCAAATTACAAGCAAATTACAAACTTGAAAATTTGAATTTTTGGAAATATGTCTAAAACACATTTTTAGTTGATGCATGGCAAGATCTGCAGAGCCTACATGTACATGTACCGGTACATGTACTTAAGTATTGGCAGACACAATTGACTTCATGCAGACAATGACAATTCAAGCTGATGAAACTGTCAGATTGGAAGTTACAATGAAAAGACGGTCTTGGCTGTTTAAAAAACTGCAAGGCAATCCACCATGAGAGATAGAATTTTGACTTGCCCATCAACCAATAGAAAAAATACATGTACTGCAGGTTCCCAGTTTAACTAGTACATGTAGGTCTTGGTTGCAGGAATTCTTTGCGGTAAGCATGCATACATGTACATATACAGTGCATGTGCATGTAGTCATCAGGATGTTCTGTACACATGGTACATGTACATCAAAGTAACTTGTACATGTACCCTATTCGTCAAGATGGCCGTAAAGGACTTGAGAATTTTGCAATGCAACAGTGACCGCCTTACATGTACTGGTACAATGTGCATGTACCAGTATCACCAGTCAACAGGCAGGTCATAAGAATAAGTGCATGTGCAAGTGCTACATGTACGTGTACATGTATGAGGCAATCACGTTTTAGTAATCAGCTGGCTTGTCAGGGTACGGTACATTACCAAAGTTGTTACATGTAGCATGCATGCCTGGGACCCTCCCCAGCCCCACCTGACATCACGCTGCCATGCGACTAATCAAAAGTAGCTGCTAGGGCAACCATCTCCAACACTGTATTCCACTACCCTAAAGAGAACTCATTTTCTCCAAGGAATGAAAAACCACTGGCTCCGCTCCAAAAAATCACTCTCTTGTCAAATGCATCCAGTACATGTACAGTAACAACATGTACAGTACATGTACATACATGTACACCCTGACGATACACTGCCTAGGTACCGGTACATGTACATGTACGTGTAAATTGAAGATAAAATTGTGGCCACATACATGTACATGTACCATTTGATACAAAACACTTCGCTGGTGGGTTTTTTACATGTACATGTGTAGCTTCTTTCACACTGATGAAACCTTAACCCCTCCCCAAACCCCAAGAATTTCAACTTCAATAGTCTTTTATCATGTTTATTACAACACTAATACAACTACTAAATTAAACTACATGTACATGTACAATAGACTGCCCATCTAATCATCTAGTTATTCATTGCATAAACATTTCCCCTAGTATTTTTTATTCCACTACGTCACCAAAACCTTTTGTTACTGAAATTATTTATTGTTGGGGTTTGTACATAAGAAGGGCATGTTGGGTCATGAGAACATGAACCATTCAGTCCAGACCTCTGACGTTCAGAAATGTCTGTTCTTACTAGTTCTTTGTCTTAACCTACATGTACATGTAATGTACATGTACCTCAGACAAATAACAGTGAGTCAACTGTGCATACAGGCTGTACAAGGGTACATGTACATGTACCGTACTCGGAATGACCGTAAGGATACATGTAAATATCATCTTCTTATGCCATGTTTTATGTTTTATGAATAGCCAACACCTGAACACTGTGCAACTGGTTTTGTAAGTGCCACTGACCAAAATGTCTCAATCAATAAGCAACCTCAAATTGAAAGAACCCATCTTTTAGTGACAGACAAACAACAACAGACCTTATGACAGGTCACATGATGCATACACAAGTCACGCTGGGTCCTCAGCCAAAACACTGGGACCTAGAAAGGAGTAACAAAGCGACACAAACACAAGACACTAGCATCAAATGTGCAACAGTGCTGAAACCCACATGTATGCCTGCAGGTGAGGTAAAATGTACAATGTACATACATACGTGTAAACATGAATACCACTATCTGAGTGCAGTGTGCACCCTGGACTGTTGGACCAAAGTGAGTACATTTTGTAACTAAGGATAACACACATCATGTACATTTTCAAGTGCTGGTGAACCACACATCACATAACACCTGCATGTACATGTAAGTTCTGATCATGGTCTGCCACTTAACAGATGTTAACATGCCAATTAAAATCTTAAGTACATGTACTAGCTTCTGGCCAGTGTCTCCACAACAGCAGATAAACACTAAAAAACAATCAAACAAACACAACATGCATGGTTTGCCAGTTTTGTTAATTTGTATTTTTTTCTTTGCAGTGTTGTTTCAGAGGACAAATTGTGTGAGCAAAAAAATCTTCACAACCATCAATTCTTGATTCTCAGTAATTCATCAGCACTGCTGTAAAAAGGAAAAGGTGATACCACGTACACGATAGAACTAGTGCAGCACGAACTGACAAAACCAAAAAGATGTGCTTACTTTTGAAAATCAACCAAAAAGCTACACGTACAAACACACAAATGTATTTTTAAATTTCACTATTTCAAAATTTTACACTAAACCATGTAAACAGAACTAATTTGATTTAAATCAAGGTACTGTACTTACAAGATTTACCACCAGCGTAATACATGTATTTCAGACTGACTCTCCTAAAGGTAAGTCTGAAAAACCGATTTAATTTCCAAGTGTTAGACAAGCACTTTATAGGCAGCTTGTAAGTAGCAACCACGATTACATTTTTTTGTTTTCATACAATCAGGCCATTGGGACTCTAATATTTTGAGTTTTGAAGTGTCATCCTTCCTACATGTACATGTACCTGGCTATGCAGGTGTACATACAGGTGGAAGTCGGTGATACTGTACATATACATGTACATGTATGGGACTTGATTGTGTAAAAACAGCAGCAGGACTTGTCAACATAGACGTACATGTATGGGGTCCCATTTAAAGTACTGGCCTTACTGTTTAAGAGACACCTAAAGTTTTGCGACAAGTTAAACAAATTCTACGTGGATTCTTATTCTTAGCATTAAAGAACAGTATGAAAAAATTATGACCAAGAACATTCTTGTACAGGTAGTGTTGATGCTATATGTTTGCATGTCAGTAATGTCAGTGATGTTAAGTTACAAGTAACAAAAAACTAAGGGTGATTGGCTTGAGTAAGTGGCAAATGCACACCATACCTTTGTCCGATGCAATAAGTCCAATCTTCTGGCAGTCATCTGCTTCACTGGGTAAACTACATGTATCTGGGGCCATTCCATCATGGCAATCTTGCCCAATGTCTCTGGATGGATTCTTTGTCACTGATGCAAGGTTAGCTGCTTCTAGCTCTTCACCTGTGTGAGATTGGTAGTCAATCAGGTGAGCTGTGTCACTGCTATTGTTGTTGGAGACATTCTGCATGTCATCACTGTCTTCCTCCGCTATACTGTCGTGTTTGCTGGCTGACGGCATTTCATATTTATCTGTGCAGTGATTTCAGAGCATTAGCGTGTGAAACTCATGGGTGATTAAATTATGTGGTACAGTATCATATTACTATGCTTTACTGGATTTGAAAAACTGTTTTTAATACATGTACATGTATCATAGAATATGTTCAAAAGGAGGGAAGGACGGCAGAAACGGAGGGCCTCTTGTTGGCCATTATGGTCTGCACATAGTCATGTCTGGATGGGCTTTTTGAATTATTCATAACCTTGGTAAGATATACACTGTACATGTAACTTGATCTGTGTCTTATGCAAGAGTGAGCACATGCACATGTACACCTGTTGTATGTGGCATGTGCACATTGAATACAACTTGTTGGAAGCACAGTAAAAATGATGTCTACTAAGTTTTGCCCCACTTCTCTCTGTCACCAGTCTAAGATGCTTGTACGCCAATGATATCCACAGCAGTTTCTGTTGAAATTACAAAGGGCACGTACATGAATACAGTGTACGTGTATGTGAACACAAAACCCATTACAGTTCTCTACATACCGGTACATACATGCACTTTCTGTTACATGCAAGTCTCATACTTACCTGGCTGACATTCTTTATGCACTGGTGTTCGTGGCACATTGATGGTGGGTGACCTGGGGTCAGGGTAAGTAAAGGGACAGGGGGTTCTCGAAACACCCTCAGTGGGCGACCTTGGATCGGTGTCATCAGGAATAGGTGTCCGTGCAATCTTCGCTGTTGGTGATCGTGGGTCCTCAAAGCTGTCGTCTACCTCTCCTGGCTTCGGAACAACGATCGGAGTCCGCTGGACTCCATCGGTGGGCGAGCGTGGATCCCTGAGCTTCATAAGACGGCGTTGGCTAAGGGGTGTGTGATTGGCATTGTCTTCATCTGTTGTTTTGTCTTGCAGCTGGGCTTTGTCATGCTGAGCCTTGCTTTCCGTTGTTCCCATTGTATCATGAACTGCCTGCATGCACACGGAATTTACAATAAAAGACACATGCCTATCTGTTTTATTTCCATTATGCTACCAAACAAAAGACATGTGAATATAATATGGACATTAAAATGTTCACACCTTCAAGGGACCCCCCCAACCAAACCCTCCATTCCACAGTCACCATAAAACCTGGTATCCACAAGTCTCTACCATGTGTCTACAGGAAAACCACAGTCACACTAGCTTTCATCACTAACTGCAGGTATCCAATACACCTGATACAGGTGTTGTACAATAGTATGCCTCCAAGTGTTTGCAATGCGTTAATCATTCACGGTGTGTGAAATCCATCGACCCAATGTGCGTTTGGGAAGGGTCAACAGATTTCGCGCCATGTGATTGGTCAACGCATTGCAAACTCTTGGAGACGCACTACTGTCAATCGCCCATATTCCGTTCTGTCCATTTTATTTCCTGAAACTATACATACATACATACATACATACATACATACATACATACATACATACATACATACGGTAAGTTGTACAATCCAACACAATTCAGAAATGCAAACACCAGCCCTTTTCCAACGATTATTTGCCAATAACTTTTTTTGTCTTAAATCTGTGTAAACTATCTTTTGAGGAATTTCCTGACGTCTATATGCAGCTTGTGAATGAATCAATGACAAGAACCAGTCACACTGCACGTACATGTAGATGTACGTTGGAAGTGATACAATGCCTATACATGTACATGTACACGTAATTACACATAAAGATTACAGCTTATGGGGTAACTGACACTTGCAAGATAGGCAAAAATCTTCATGAATATGTGAACAAAAATGCACGTTAATATCTGTGACTGACAATACTGTGACAGAAATTTGCATTAGATAGTCCCAACACTCTTAATAATGCTAGACTGATAATTTTGTCAACAGCAGCAGTATTAATCATGTAACTGTTCATGTTACGCTCAAGGAATAATGAAGATGATTTTAAGATGATTAAATACATGTACATGTGTGTATTAATAACAGCTTGGTGTGGAAGCAGATTACACTGCACATTTAATACATTTTACAATGCTAAATCATCCAAGTACACATGTACCAGTACATGTACATGTACGTTGAGTGTATTCCCAAAGCAGGGTTGCCCCTTCTATCAATCCTATGCTCCCTCTCAAGAACATGGCTACTGGCTGCAATGTACATGTACTGTGCACGCTCATGTACATGTACATGCACATGCATGTACCGGTACATGTATTTGTTCTTAAACTGGGATTCTAGCCCATCGATCCAGATGGACACTTAACAAAGTACATGGTGTACATGTACATGTGCGTGTATCAATGTACATGTGACTGTTCTTCATAACGTGGACCTCCTGACCTCCAGATTTCATTTTCTAAAACTTCTGAAAGAGTGACTTTGATCATGTAAAATACAAATTAGCACCTTCAGATTTATAAAAATGATTATTTGGGGATAATTAGGCATACTGTGTACATGTACATTTGGTTGGCTACCAATGAAAATCAAATGGAGTTGAATTAATTTGCAGTTTTACGTCAAAGTGCTTGCACCAGTGGACTTGATTTCAACAATTCTCTCGATAACCAAGGAGAATTTAGTATTTTTCAACTGATGTATTTTAAAGCACCTACACTTAAATAACTTTACCAAAATATAAGCCATGAAAAAAAGAGCACAAAATTGATGGAAAATGATGAGAAAGGTTTGGCTCTCTTCATTCTGTTATCGTTTATAATCACTCTCACTATTCCAGCATACATGTATATCTGCCTGGTCTTATACATGTACATTTGTGTACCTTTCAACCACTGAAAATAATCTTTCAGTTTGGCTGCATCAAAAATGTATACATAATGAGTACAATAGGTTCGTTCTGAACGTCATATTGGACAGAATTTTGATGACATTCAAAAATCTTGACAAAAACGAGTGACGTTTGAGAATGCCGAAAATGCTGTCACATGTAGAGCTTGAAAATTCCATGCGCGATGTTCATTTTGCCGTTTATTTTGGAGATATCCCTGCCGAAAATTACTTGTACATTGTACCGGTACATGTACCATCATGAATTGAATTTTATGTCTCGGACATCATTTTCTTTCAAATGTCATTCAGTATGACAGATTTTCTTTCAAGAAACCTTAGTCCAAAGAGAAAAATCCCAGAGTGTCACCATTTCGTGGAGGGCTCATGAATATCAAATGAAAAAGAGGGTGCAGTATCTGGGTTAATGTCAAAGGTAAAAACAGGCCAAGATGCAGCGAAATGTTTCTTTAACGGCACTACAAGATTATGACAGAAGCTGCAAAATCGCCACTATCAATATTTTGGATTGCGGTTTTCGGAAACATACTTAAAGAAAATGTGATCGGTCCAGTCGTAAAATGATGATGGTTTGGCGGTGCTTTTTTGCACTTTTTAAAGCTTGTGTTGGACATACATGTAGATTTGGATTTCATTCGCTCATTTAATAATTACTGAGTTGCAGAATTCTATTGGCAAGGCTGGGGACAAAATCCTTGGAAATCTAATAATTGCATCCAGATGTTGAGATTAAGTTCTAGCCTGCAAATGTTTCAACATTAAAGCAGTATCATATCTGTGATTAACGATAATGTTCCTATAACAATAATGTTCCTATTGACCAATTCACATTTGATTACATTAAATAGGCACTTGACAACAAATGAAATTATTAAACAATTATGGCGACATGATAAAGAAGACCATTTCAAAGCTGTAAGTTGGTCGGAGTATGACATTTCACCAATTCAGTCCATATTTTGAGGAACCTGCCATGTAAACATACATGTACATGTACAAGTAGTGTACACTGTACATGTACATTGCTTCTTCTAATAGGAATGACCGTTTGCAGATGAATTCATCTTAACAAATGTCAGAAACTTGTACATTGACCCAACAACTTCTGCTTGGAGTTTGACATGATACGTGTACATGTTACTTACATGTACACGAAGACCAAGCATTACTTGAACTGCGCTTCATTTACACCTACATGTACATGTACATGTGTGTGTAATATTAAATTCATAGTTATTTTGTAAAATTAGACTGTTGGAGTTGTTTTAAACACACAAATAAATTAAATATCATTAGATTAACAAAAAGTTTAAAAAGAAATATTTCATGTTTTTAAATGCAATTGGTGGCAATTTACATGTACCTGTACATGTAAATGTAGTGACAATTTCTTGTAATTGGTCCTGAACATTTTTTTTAATTTCTAGAAACTTCAAACTAATATCCTAGTAATTTTGAAAAAGATATTTGAGAAAAAGCATTTTCAAATGTCCACCCTTGTGTCACACTTTCATCAGTGTTCATGGAATTACCCACACGTACCTACTGTACATGTATGGCACCAGTGAGGGGGTCTTAACCACCAAACAGACTGACAGAGAAGACAAACGAGTCAGCAAAGTTGACAGGAAGTGGTTTTACTTTCCTGTTTCCTCCACATGTACATGTACTGTACATGTACATCACCAGAGAATGCTATTAATGTAATGTACATGTACATGTGAAGTTGTAAGTGGAGCCAGGATAAGTACACGGAGCAAGATACCTACATGTACATGTACAATGTGTACATGTACATGTATGTATGTACAGGTTCTATGTACCTGATGCATAAAGTTTGAAAGGCAACTTTGCTCAGGAATAGAATTTGTCATGAAACTGTAGATGTCTGCGTGGGAATAAAAGGAAATTTCTTCTTGTAATCATTATTCATCAAATTTGCACAAGTTCGTACAGCAGTAGAGTTCTGCTATTCAGTCAGCTCCTACACTTACATCCATGTACATGTCATGTATGTATGTACATACCAGTATGCATGGAGAGGAGTACTCCTGAAACAAGGTGCTTGGGACTTTTAACAGATTACCTTTTATAACAGTATTATCAACACTTTAAAAAAGAAAAGAAAAGCAAAGACTAAAGAAAGAAATTTCATTATTAAATATGACTTACCGGTATGCATACATGTACATGTATCGTTATACGTACTACATGTACACATACACCCTGTATGTGCTTTTTTAAAACTGTGTTCAACTGTACAAGTCACTTTTCATGTGACACCTGCCGAACAAGTCTATGACTTGGCTATGAAGCTTTCAAGTTCAGAAAGTGATTCCAATGAAGGCCTCCACAACGGTCCAGAGGGAAAACCGTAGTAAGTCCCTATTCTATGCATTTGTGACCAATCACATGGGTCTGTACACAGGCAATTCCGTGAAAAAGTGTCCGTTGCCCCAAAATTTCAACTTGATGTCCGACAAATAAATTTGATACTATTTGAAAGAGTGATGTCTAGACGATTCAAATCATATTTTGTTTCCAGTTTTTGTTTGTATTTCAAATTTACCATTGTTATGAAAATTTGTGTTTAAAATTATAAAATTACAATTTCTAAGCCTATTTTACGCACTTCTTTTCACCTACTTTCAAATTATAAGACAAGATTTTAATTTGTTTTTAGGTTGTGAATAATTTTGCATAGGGTTTACCTTCTTGAAAAAAAGAAGTGTTATTGTCAGGTTTTTCCTCATTTCCATGGCAACGCTCTTTTAAAATGTGCCATTTTGCCCTAATGGCATTGTAATATCCATGACGTTATACATGAGCATCATGGACATTACACTTTGTACGCCACGGATATTACAAAAATTTATGTCATGGACATTACACATCATGCTTACAGCCTTAAAACTCCCTCTTGAGACAACGGAACAGTCTGTTTATGCAAATGAGAGTAAGTAAGGTGTCATTTAATAGGACCTCATTTGGATGAAAAAAACTAGATTAGCCAGGGATTGAAGCTGTTTTGCAACACACAATCAGCCATACTTTTGTGAGCACATGGCATTTTAGAATAGCCAAACCTGCATTCTGAACACAGTGTCACAAAGGCCCAAACTTTCAGGTACATGTAAGCTTGCTTTTTTGAGAAGTTTGTTAATTAATGCTTGTATGGTGACTGCTGGAATAAAATGTGTTAGTACTTGTGCAAAATGATCTAATTTGTAAATTTTGACTTACATGTAATATTTAACAGCAAAAGCCCATGATTGGGCCTTGGCCTACATGTAGGCTAGTACCCTGCTTACTCTTTTTGCTACATGTAAATTGTATACTGCCAACAATGAAAAACACTGCAGAATCATTTATTAATTAATTGCCTCATTCTTATTTCAGAATGGCAAAAACTCAGTGTCAGAGACAAAAAAGAACAGGGACAAAATAAGAAACTGCCCTGCAAAAAAACAGAGAGTTCAAAGAGAAAGATGCGTGAAGGAAAAGCAAGAAAGGAGCAAAAGTTGACCCCAGCTAAAATCATGGAAGAGAGAGCAAACAATCGACAGCGTACTGTGCCATGTTTAGAGTCGTATAATGGTGGGTCAGGTGTGGCCTAACTTTGATGGTCGTTGTGCCATATTTATGGTGGGTCAGGTGTGGCCTAATTACACATATGATGGTCTGCATCTGGTGAGCTATACTTGTAGCAGGGTCTGGTGTGACCAGAATATTAACACAGTCTCATGGGCCGTGTTTAGGGTGGGCCTGGTGTGCCCTATTTCATGGCTGGGTCTGGTGTACCCGAGGAATATACAATTTTGTTGCCAGTTTGTCCAAAAAACTTCTGGTACATGTATCTGGCAATCTTTGGAAAAGTTCTTGGAAACAAAACAAAGCTGTGGCCAGAAGACAACGTGAAGTGTGTGTGCGCGCGGTGATTTATATTAGTCTGAAAATAAATGCTACATGTAAAAAAGAACAGGGTACTTGTGGGTTTTTACATGTAAGTTTCACTGGTACATGTACATATTGTATACACATATTGTGTACAATTGTCAAAATTGAAGACCTCAAAATGATTCAAGTTAGTTTGCTAAAACACTCAATACAAATTTGCAACTACATGTATAAAGATTACCATCTTTCTTTGCTTTTATGGCAGGCTCTACAAAATAGTCATTAGGTAACAATTCACTTGGGGTGTTCTATTTCCTGAAGATAACGGTAACAGATTAAACTTCAGTCATGACTGATATCTGGAATAAATGGGCATGAAACTCTTTGCTTCAGAGTACTGCTGTTTCTTTAATACCCCACTTCAAGCAATGATGACAGCATCTGATGGTTAATATAAATAATTAAAATACTGGTTAACATGAATAATTATTTCAGTAGTATCAAACAAGATCACAGTTCTCTATGGAACACCAATGGCCATGCCAGTCCTTTATCTACAGTAGATCAGAGTTGAATAATTTCAGGGGTTCAGATAATGTGCATGTTGGCGTATACACATGTACGCTTGCCGACTTGGAAATTTAGTCAAAATACAGAGTGTAAAACCTCATGCAGAACGTACATGTACGTGCAGTGATTTCTACTATAGAAAAAGTACATGTACCATAGTTTCTGTATTTTTCATGTTTCGTCAATTTCATGTCCATGTACGCCCAGCCCAACAGAGTAACGTTCATAGCAGACGTTACTGAAACCGATTTGTTCATGTTTGTCAGTGTACAGCTTTTCCCGCTGCTCCATGCACAACCCTGTTAAATTCAGAAAATCCTGAATTGATGGGAAAGACCTGAGGTAAAATGTGTTGTACATGTACAATGTACACTGCAATGGGCTACTGCACACGCGTTGTGTGCATGGATCGTTTTGTGTGCGAAAACGTGGTCAAGACTCACCGAAGACACAATCCGGTAAAATTTATTTCTAGCTTGCGGGAATAAATGTGCATTGTACAGTCATGACAGTACTCTCTCTTGAAGAAGAGTACATGTGCTGTACTCTGAGCACAGACGTGGGTATTGTCCATGTACTCATGGCTTGAAGAGAATTATCTAAACCCCTGTAATTGTCAACCACGTAATCAACTTGTAAAATTAGTTTTACAGTATAAGCAAAATAAAACTAGAGAGGAGACCTTTTCAATGTCATTTCCTGCAATATTTTAACCAAATCAGACATAAACTTCAGAAAATATAATGCTTTGAAAGATCAACCTTCCATGTCATGTGACTTGTCATCTGATAACGTCATTATGATTTCAATTTTTATCTGCAACACTTTCCTTTCTACAAGTACATGTAGCTACATGTATCTGCAAAGTTTCAACCAAATCAGACATGCACTTCAGAAGATAAGGAGTTTTGAAGTTTGCACCTTTAGCCTCTTGCTGCTAGGGAACCCCGAAATGGGACAAAAGACCCTACTCGGAACACAAGACCTGCTGCTGGGAACTGCCATCATTTTTCGGCTTGCTTTTTTCGAAGGTAATCCCTCACTGTTTCTAAACAGTATACCACCAGACTACTGTTTTGGGCACAGCACCCGTGGATTAGCACCGCCGACAAAAGGGCTCCAGGGTCCCATTGATGAGCGACACAGCGCTGCTGTATGCTAATCCAGCCGAGTTTGAAAAAATGCCACTCGCTTTCACTGGGGACAAAGGAAATAGCAACATCTCACAATTCTGGGCTCTGTTTACAGGGCGGAGGGCCTGGATGAAATATTCAGGAGTCAGTGAAGGTTACATGTACCTGTCAGCTAGAGAAGCTACCAAACAGTCATTCATGTGTGTGTAAACGTCCATTAAATGAAATGAATTTTTGAAGAATTTTGAAAACTGAAAATCTTGAAAATCACCCTGTACATGTACTGTACATGTGCATTGCATTCTTAAAAGCACCCGGCAGCATGTGGTTAATGTCATGTCACATGACCTCTGATAATGTAACAGTTGCTGTACACCCTCTTGGGTTGATGGACTAAATATGCTCCTCATACAAAGTCAGTCAGATCATGGAGCTATTAAACACATGGTCAGATGGATGAGTGCTTACATGTACATCAGTGATCTTTGAAAAATGTACACAAAACCTGTGGAAAAAACTGCACCTTTTAATTCATGTCACATGATTTGCGTTTGAATTGAACATTTTTACCAAATGTTACTTGATATTTTCACTCTAGGGTATACACTGGAATGCTGTTAATAACAAGGTCCTTGGGCCTTCAGAAATTACTTTGTGTTTTAGCTAGTGAGCCTTGTGTTATCACGGCCCATTTTTTCAAGCATGGCCTGGCAGTGCAAATCAAGCCGTGCACCAGTTAATGTGAGTCTTGCGTTATCTAGATTCAAAAAAAGAGAAAATAAAATCTGAGCTAAAATTCAGTCTTTTCCCCTGCTTTTTCGCAGCCCCATCAACCATGACCAACATACATGTACATGTAGAAACTACACTGCATGAAAGCACATATACACTGGGACTACGGTTCGGCCGTTTGGTTCAAACGTTAATGTATCAACGGCGGTAGGCGGGTTCCCTTACTTACAAATAATGAACCCCAGCACCGTATCTATGAACTTGTAACAAAATAAATACAGACTTGGACTCTACAAATAAACTTTTTTAACATTTGGACATGGTCGGGCAGAGAGTAGAATCCAAGGACATGAAGCAGATGTACCTTTTATAGGCTTTCCATCCCATTAATTCATTTCACTCAATATAAGGGACCTGGCAACTATACTGTCACACACATTAATGACAACCATGCGCTGCACGTTAACATTAGACATGTTAGAAGTTATTATTAGGCCTATCATTAATTATTTCTGGTAATGACACCAAGGGTTCCTGAAAAGTGCCCCAGGCAGCGTATACATGTATGGGATTTCAGGATGTCCGACAACTCAACTATTTGCCAACTCGACTTCAGACAACTCGACTGGTTGCCACGTACATGTACATGTAGTTCATTAGGACAACTCGACTTTGACAGAGAGACAACTCGACCAGTGAGATCTCTACGCATAATAGTTGTTTTCCTATGTGCAATGTCCAATATCAAAATACTCAATAATCCCAATACATGTAGGTGATTTTTTGTTTTTAATTCAGGCCGAAGAGATCATGATCGTTAATCGGTGTTATTCACTCTCATATCAGTGTAGTTTATTAAAAAAACTTATTTGTGCCAGCGCGTTTTGGAACAGTTCTCCATCTGTAAAAAAAAGTATTCAGTATAACTTTTAAAGTGGGACAAATCAACAACTATGAGTAAATTGCCAGCTACAGAAATATGCCCACGCCTTTACTGGATTTAATACCCTCTCCCCTTGACACGGAACTGCCTGGAGTCCCTTTATCAAATTTTGTGAACACCCGTATGTCGCCTATTTTAAGTCCACCTGTTAACACACAATACATGCTAAAAAGTGGCCAGGATTTGTACAAATCATGAATTTTAGCTTTCCCATACTAGCCGTAGTAGACTCAGCTTGTGTGCAGGTAAATGGCCAACTAGTGTCACCAACGCAGGCCACAGCCTCGCCCGGCGCCGGGCCTGACATGATGTGTACATGTACTCAGCCTGGAGATCAGTGGTACTCAGTGGTGGCTGAAGACTTTCTACGCCTTTTGGCCTACACAGGATAGGCCCACAGCTATCCATGTGTAGCCCAGCCATGTCGGCAAGTTCGGTAGGCCTACAGTGCTACATCAAAGTACATGTACACTGTACATGTAGATTTATAATAGGCCCCTACTACGTACTAGGCCTAGGCCAACCAACTTTATTTCCATTCAAATCCCTACTACCGTGCTGTTGACAGTCTATCTTGTAACTAAAAAGAACTGCATGTACCAGTACAGTACTTCAGCATTAGATTTTGCGTATTTTGTGTCGGATCCTGGTACTTACACAAACCACTTGACTTTGTCTCGCGCCAGCAACTGTGGAATATGCACGAACGAAACATACACAGTACAAGTACATATCTATCTGTAGCTAGCTAGCTGTACTGTACACATAGCAAAGATAATATAGCGCCGCTCGCGCAGCTAGCTTTGGTACGTAAGGCCTGTAGTTAACTTACGTTTGCCGTTGTGTATGTACGGTTGTGCCTTGTTTTGAAAAAATTCTAGCCATTCATGAGCATTGTATTACACCCTCTTGTCAAACTTCTGAACAAAAGCCGCTTGTGATTGGCCAACTTCCATGGCTTAATCAAGTTGGCCAACAAGTGGTTCTCGCTATTCAGCGGGATTTTGCGCGAGTTGAAAAGCAAGATGGCAGCGCTCATATTGCACGAATTCATGAATGACGTTCGAGTTCCACTTGGTGGAGACAAAATCTATAAAGATGAATGTGCCTTTTCATTTGACAACCCTGTGAGTTTTTATTAAAAGCCTTACAAGAAAATGATTAAGTTCACAGGTTTTTGTCCAAGTACTTGACCTGTTTTCACAGATTTAGCTTGTGCCATTTTCCGGACATGCTGCGTACAAATGATGTACGATCATGATCATGTGGCTCTACTGAGTGGAGCGTTAGTATTCTTCGTTTTCGATTTTGGACTGGACTAGTGCGACGATCCTGTCCAAAACCGAAAAAAAGGAATATTAACCCTCCACTTAAAGCTATGCTGCGTCGGGACATCTGCGTTTTTACAATCACTTCACCCCATTTCCACATTGCCCATGTTTAATATGCTATAGTCATGCATGCATGTACTTCGTAGTCCTAGTCCTGCAGTTGGGCTGGCCCATCTATTGTTGACCAATCCCTGTACAAAAATTCCTCTACCTTCTCCAACTTTATACAGTACACTCCATGACATAATTCATCTTGCATGTCTTGTAGGCCTAGGTCTACATCTTGTTGCACATGTACATTTAGGGAGAACTGAAAACTGCACGATCTGTGCTTCACCTCTGGCATTACCCCCAGAAATGTGGGTTCTGGGGGTACTCTGGCATGTCTGGCGATCAGTTGATTCTGGTGAATAAATACATGCACTTGGGGCCTACCTCATACGGTCGAAAATAGGCCATGTCTATACATTGAACAGTTTCTTCGCAAGTTGTCTGAAGTGGAACCTCTGACTTGGCTGGGTACCCAAACTGTTGACATTTTATTTGTTGCATACGCCTCTGTTAAACTTTTAAAAAAAGGAAGGATTTTGGTGGGACGAAGTGGAAATGGGGCGATGTTTTGGGATGGGGGCATGTGGGGATAGGACAAAGTGGTGAGTGGGTATTGTAAGTCCGAAGCCTCATAGATCCGACACCTCAAAAGTCCAAATTTGTGGACTTATGAGGGGTCAGAATAATGAGGTGTCGGATTTATGGGTAATTTTTTTTCAGCCTCATACTGTAGTTCTAACCTCAAAGGTCCAACGCCCCATAAATTTGACGTCAGACCAACGAGGTGTTTGACCTAATATGAGGCATCAGTGAGATTGATTCTAAAACATGGAGGAATGTGGGCCCGCGTGACGTGTCACCCACAATGATATTTTGCTGAATATGAAAAGCCTTTTTTTCGACTGTAACACTTTTGAGATCTTAAAAATGATTGTATGTGTCATACATGCAAATAGTACACCATATATGCACCAGGAACCAGTCTTGTTCCCAGCGCCGTCTTCATACATGTATGCTCGTAATGAGTGTCAACTGTCAAATCAAACATCAGACTTTCGAGGCGTCAGATTTTTTGAGGCATTGAATCTATACCACGGGCTGAAAAAAAACCATTAGAACTTTTAAACACATTTGTCTGACTTATGAGGCGTCAAACCTACATGTATGAGGCGTTGGACCTATGAGGCGACGGACTTATGGACTTGTTTAAACACTTTTTTTGGACTTTTTTATGACTTATGAGGCGTCGGAATTATGAGGCGTCAGACTTACGACATGTACGAGCTGACCCCAAAGTGGTTAGGGGTGAAGTGAGTGGTACTCATATCTTCAAAAGGTTTTGTCATGCTTGTTCATTACTCTGCCCAGTCTGCCACCACTCCGTGTGACTTTGCTCCACCCCAACTACATGTGTAGCATCAGTCCCAACTATACATGTACATGTAGTTGGGTGGGCTTAACTATATTGTACAGCCAGGTGTACATGTGCCATAGGCTACCAGTAATGAAGTGTTGGACTACATGTACCTGTAAATGTTTCATATACCAGTCTGTTTTTTGTACATGTACATGTATTGTACGGTTTAATTAGCTGCTTCGGCTGCACTGCCGAAGCAGGTACATGTATTGTTTTCGTTAATTTCTATTTATTTTTTTTTCCTTTTTCAGATACTTTTTCGTGACAGGGGACTTTGATAGTTTCGTTTATCTGATTGATTTCAAACTTCGCAGACCTTTAGATATTCATGTCAGGAAGGTCCTAGAAGAAAATAGGCATGATGACGTCGTCACGTGATTTATTTTTGAATTTTGATTATTTAATTTTTTGCCATGTGTTTTGTACACGTTTTTCAACTGCCAGAATTGCATGGCCAAAGCCACTCCACAAAATGAAAATTGGTCTAAGCAAAGACCATACAGCATAGATGGTCCTGGAAGAATTACGTCACTTTGACATGAATTGATTTATTATTTAATTTTGAAAATTTAATTTTTCCCATTGACTTTGTACACTTTTTGAAACCCAAGCATACAAGTGCCGCTTTGCTTCGGCGTTTGCGCATGTCCTTACTTTGTGCAATCAGCTGTTCTGTTTTTCCGGTACTGAACTTCGACTCCGTCTCAGGCTTCAACCGTTTTTTTTACTAGATGACTTTGAAGCTGTAAGCAAAGTAATCAGTGTAAGACTGTCATAGAACTCCAAATAGAAAGGTAAAAATTACATGAATCCACTGTAATTTAAACGCTTCAGGCCCCCAATTGGGGATTGGTTTTGGGAACGAAACTTGAGCGGAGACGAAGTTGGATATTGGAAAACGGCCGTAATCTGGCCAATCGGTGGATGCGTTGACGTGAAAGTGTTGCCGCATACACTTACAGCATGATTTCTTTGTACATTTACATATAATTTGGCTTGAAAGTTGTGAAAGATATCGAGGGAAATGAACTTGAAGATCTTATGTCAGGCCTTAACCAGCTGCTTAAAGCATTTCGTCCACGCACGTATCCCCATTTGCGCTGTCACATCCCAACAGGCAACACATCGGGAGGATATTTTCAACGTGCACTTGGTTTTCTCCGACACGCACACACACACAATGACCGTGAGCATGGGTGTACCCAACGAGGGCTAGCGACTCCATATGCAATCACACGTATACATGTACAATGAGCACTCGCATGGTATAGTGCGGTGGGCAGCTGGGTTTGGAAGCTGGATGGATATGGATGAGGTGCTGCAACTGGTTTTGGAAGGCAGTTAGTATTAAGAAACATTCTCAATTGCAAGTTCTTGTCTGCACTTTGTGTGCTCTGTCGCTTTGGACAGTGAGGTTAGGGGAAACAGAACTTACTTAAATTAGCTCTAATTATGCGATGTTTTCAGCATTCACAAAAGCCTTATATTTTGTGTTCCCATCTCTTCTTAAGTATGTCTGGAAATCCTCAGGGCAAAAAAATCCACTTTTTTATACACAATAGTAAAATCAACTAAAGCACATGCAAATGCAGTTTTTCCCTTAAATTTTAATGTGGCATAAATAAAGAGTAGGACACTTGAGCATTCAACTCTGATAATTCTTCAACCTCTAGACCAGGTTTCATGTTCAGTGTTTTCAATATATTTTGCAACATACACTTAAATTCCACATTCATAGTCTGTGCACTCGCAGATTTGTCCATTTCAAATTCAGTAACCAATAAGGAGTTGTAGGAAGGAATTGGATTATGAAGGAATTGTGTGAAACTGATATTTGTGTTGCTTTTCTTCCCATCTTTGAAATCGACATTTCTTAGTTTGTGTATACCAATAGCCCTCGAAGGGGAACAGTTTTAGACCTAAATTGACCTGATGTGATGATGATATCATTGCGTGATAAGTCGTGTGACCTTAAAGGGGCAGTCTTTAAAGCACTATATCTCGCGAATTACATGTACATGTCCGATTGGGTTGAAATTTTGTGTATAACTTGAAAAGGAAAGGTTTTAGTGACGTGATCATGTGATAAATCTGTGACCTTACAGGGGCACTGTTTTAAGCACTGTATCTTGCGAATTACGTGTGCAATTTGTTTGAAATGTTGTGTATAGTTTGAGAGGGAAGGGTTTCAGACCCAGATTGGCCTGATGTGACCAAAATGTCATCAGACAACAAGTCAAACGACATTAAAGGGGCACTCTTTAAAGTACTGTATCTCGCAACGGACATGTCCCATTCGGTTGAAACTTTGCCGATGGCTGGAAAGGGAAGAATTCATGGTGAAAATTTCATTTCATCTGATGGTTGTACCATTATATCACAGTCCTGTTACATTAACACAGGGATTTGAAATATTCTACCGACCAATGTTTGTACTGTATCGTTTATGTGAACTTCTCCTTACACTCTTGTGCATACTTGGAGAACTTTGTCACCGGTTTTCACATTTTAGATCAATACAACCAGGGCCGAAGCAGCTGTGCTTGTCCACAAACACATTTCTACCGGTAGTTTACATTTTGATGCTTTGCCAGACAGTGAGAGTACCCAGACTTGCCTGGACAAGCTTGTGTATTACACTGTTTGTGCTAGAAACTTGTTTGAAATAACCTACACGTACGTGTAATGTACCTGTGTGCATGTTTCCAATACCAAAGTTACATGTGTAATGGTGCTTTGGGGTACTAGAACAACAAAAAGTACCTTACATTTGTTGTCCTTGTAAATTAATTATTTCTTGAATTTACTCACAAAGGAAGGACTTCTAAGGTACACTATAATTTGTCACAAAGTTTATTATTTCACATGGACATACCCGGTAAGAGAAATCAGGTCGAAACATAAACCCACGACAGATTGTGTACCGGTAGTTCAAATGGGGGCATTTCAATGCCGACTCGCATTTTGTCCATTCTGAAACTTTTATTGCCATACATGTGCTCAGATGTAGCAGTTGAAAATTCCATGCCCTCATTGTGTACAGCTCCCTACTCACATTTGCTGTAAAATAACACTCAAAAAATGGTTTCAATAGATAATGAGGCTTTAACCCTAACCCACAAGGGCCTTTTTACTACCGCACATCCTCATACCTCCAAAATCCTCCAATTGCCCAACTGCAAAACTGCATTCATTCTCAATCCTCCAAAATCTGCCATTTTATGGCTTGCATGGACAAAAAGAAAAGTACCTACATGTAAATCCTCAATCTTCCAAAATCCTCCATGCTTCAATCACCATTCATCCCCAATCCTCGGAAATCCTCCAAATACCACCCGGAGGATTTTGGAGGATTGAGGTGGGTTAGGGTTAATGACATACACACTGTTAATGTTAATTACAGTGTGACTCGCGTTAGAAAGAATGGAAAGCAGTAAAATTTGCTTAAGTTTAAATCAAATTTCTCCCCAGACTACTGGTATAAATCTGAGAAAACAGTAGATAGTTTTCAGAGAATCACAACACCCCAGCATTTGTACATGTATGTACATCATCTACATGTATCTTGTCTCAACTACATGTACATGTACATACATGTAGTTCAGAAAAAATTATTACATACATGTACCGGTACATGTAATCAGCATGACTCACATTACCGTGACACACATGACCTTAAAATAGCAGTAATTATGCTCACAATAACTTGAGATGGATGATTCCAGATGTGCAATACATGTACGTGCACATCTGCAGTGAAATGAGAAAACAAATAGACAATTCAATACACTGTTGATGTTCCTTAACTTGTACTGGTAAAGGGATTCTCCTGACAACTTAAAAATCCATGTAAGACAACAAAATAAACATTTGACAATTAATAATTACACTCTCATATTATGAGCAATAAATCTGAACATCAAACAGTGTGTTGAAGAATCAAAATTTGACGTTTGCACCCCTTTTTTCAAACCATCATCTTTAAGGAGGGTTAAGCAACTTTTGGATAACAAATGTACTGTACATGGACATGTTTCCTACAGAGTATGTTACCTTGATTTTGCCTACTGTTTAAAGTGTAATTTCCACTGCATTGTACATTGTATTGGCGTGACCTTTGATACAAAGTTGTTCAGCAACGCCGATACTACATGTACGTGAGTTCATATGCAGTCAAACCTTGTTAATAAGAGGTCCTTTGGACTAGGCAAATTACCTTGTTAGTGAGCTGTGAAGAAAATGCGAGCCTTCATGTACATATACATATATATGTACTGTACATGTATGTAATACCAGTTTGTGTCCATCTGTCCATCCATCCGGCTGTCCACTCTATGTTTTTACTTGTGAGTACAGTCCATGTACATGTATGTGTCATTTGTGCTTGTTCATTTCAGTCTTGAGTATATTAACATGTACATCGGCAATCACCGCGTTTAGGGAACATGTTCTTGTGTTAAGGGGACAAATTTTTTGTTAGACAAATTTGGACTGAGTTATGGGGACAGTTTCTTTCCCCCTTTAAAGTTTTTGGTCCTTAGAAAAGTGTAAGAACAAAACAAACTGCGAAAATAATTTTCTTTCCTTGATTACACAGGACTTCTTGAGCACACAAGACCATTGCCATTATACATGCATTCAAGTGACATAGCTACATGTACCTGTACATATACAAGTGTATGGTAGTAATGTGATTTCATGCAAATTCCCATTCTTGCTGTAGGAGAGTGACACTGGCCTCTACGTCTGCATGAAGACATTTCTTGGCTTTGGCAAGGAGCATGTACTGAGACACTTTCACCGCACTGGAAACAAAGTCTATCTCCACCTGAAAACTGTCAAAAAGAAGGTAAAGAGAGTGGGGGGGGGTCAGCTTGTAAGAACAATGCCTCATACATGTAAGTCTAAAAATATGTATTAAAAAGTCCACAAGTCTGACGCGTCAAAAGTCTGACAATTTTTTATTAGTTTGTTTTGGCCTATGCATATAGACCCGACGCCTCATTAGTCAGATCGTAAGTCCAGAAATTTGTACTTTTGAGGTATCAGACTCATGAGGCGTCAGACTTACAAAACGCACCCAAGCATAGGCACTGTTGACTATATGCACTAATAGCTTTTTTGTCTGTCTGTTGCACCCATACTGTGGTTTATTGATTTCAAATTCACGTGGCTAAGCATGACAATATAAACATGATGTGGTCTGAGATACTTTTTAAATGTACCCTTTCATCTCTGTAACAAGATGCATACTGGTACTTGTATCTCAAACTCTGACCGTATTCCCAAAACTGAGAATGTGGAAGTAAGAAATGAGAGATCAGTCTGACAGTCTAGGGCACTCTACCTACCCAAACAGTCACTACCGGTACATGTACATGTACATATGCAAATTTCCCGTATGCCTATTTTTATTCACTGAAAAGATTTGAATACCCCCAGTGCACACCGACCTCCTACAATGCGACGTGGTCTTGCCTCCATGATCATCGTCCTTTTCTCAGCACCGTAACATAATGGAAGTGTCAATTTGGTCACCTTTCCTTCCTTTGTCAATAAAGTATTACATGTACCTTGATTTCATCCATTTAGTGTATCTTTTTGTGTATATTTTGTGGTCTTTTCTTCAGTTTTATTGTAGATGTACCAGTATGTGCACCCTGCAGGTGTTTACTGTCTGTACTACGAGGTTTGTTCCAGCTACACCTGTGTCTACCCCACTGATAAACTATAGGCCTTAGCCAGTTGAATTCAGGGGGTCACTGTCAGGATCTGTCTTACATGTAATGTACTTCCCTGTCTTCTCTGGCTACCAGGACATGCAAAAGGTCTTGCTGTTAAGGGGGTTCCAGCCAGAATCTGGCCAAGACCCCTGGTTCATTCGGCCCCACAGAGCTGACGGGGAAGCTCTGTGGTTGACTGGAAGACCCAAGCAGGGAGACTGCGAGGATCTGGCAATGACCCGCTCTCTTTGGTCAATCACTGGCCTGGTGAGCGAGCTGGGACTCCCGAGACAGTGCCTTGTTAGACGTCTCCCAGGCCCGTCTTACCATCATTGTGAAGTACGCCATGCCTTTCCCCTGCTATGGCCTGCGGAATCCACACAGTGTTCCACCCAGTGTTCGTCCAGCGACGTTGAAGAGTACCACCCGCCTTTCAACCTCTGCCAAGAACACTACTTCTCTGGCAGCGTCTATGCGTACTCCCTCTCACCCAGACACTGGAGTTTACTGGGCTGGGCTCCCCGCAAGTGTCCGACCAAACCCACCTGGTGTGCCACCAAGCTGGTGTGACACCTCAGCACACGCTATTTCTTCTTAAGGTTCCATGGAGCCTACTGGGCTTTCAAACCACCCAGGCTTGAAACCACCATAGCCCTTTTGGGGCTTGTGCTTTCAACTGAGCATCACTGGGTCATCAGACTTCATTCTTCTGGTCCCTCTGCCTAGAATTCTGCAATTCCCACTGAGCTCGACCGGGAATGTTCCCCAGGCATTCTGTCGCCTGCAGCCCCGTCTGCAATCTCAGCTGCTTCTGGGAAAGACAAGCACAAGTGCTCCTCTTCTTCATGGAGTTCTGTGAAACCCAAGAAGAGGCACCACTATGGTCATTATGAGCCTACCTCTGAACCGTGGATGTCAGCCTCCCTACTTGTATCCATCAATGAAGCCCTGACCTCCATTGCTCGCTGTCTCAACAATAGACCACAACCAGCCTCCACTGCCCAGGACCGTGTTTAGCTTCTTCCCTCTTTGGCCGCGAGCCATGATGACACCGGACAGGTTTCCACACTGGAGTCGCACCAGTCCGATGTTGCCCCACTGGAGCAAGCCACTTCCCAAGGGATCACACATGGCTTGGTGTGGGGCACGGCCCTGTCTCTGACGGCACAAACAGCATTTTCTTTCTAGGAGGATGAAGATGAATCCATCAGTGCCCTAACTCCATTCAAGGGCCGCCTCTGTCTTCTTCAGCGGGACATGATACAAGTGCTCGGCCTGCCATTAGCTGCTCTGCAAGAGGAAGACACCGACCGGCCACTGCTCCTTTACACGCCATATGGCTCGAGTGGAATCTTCAGGACTAATTTTTCCCTATGTGACATAGCTAAAGATAAAATCTTGGCTGACTCAAGAAAACCGTCTGCTAAGGTGACCTTCCAGGATAAGGACAAGTCCCTGCTAGAATCCATGCTTACAAAGCTGGACAAAGCCTCTCGTTTTGGGCTACGGTGTACTGTCTTCCTACTCCTCTTATGGGAGTACATCACTTATGCATGCAAGGAAAACTCCCCAGTCTCCCCAGATTTTGCAGCCCTACATGTAGCTCTTTGTGGCCTTGAGGAAGGGCTGAACAGTAAGTTCCAACAGTTTGTCAGAATGTCCTGGCTGGTGACTTCTAAACATCCTCAATGCCATGTGTATTCCCTCTTCATGAGTTAACTCTTGCCTTCAACAAGTGCAGCTTTTTGGACAAGATCTTTTCGCCGGCAAGTTTGTTGATAAGCTGGAGACCAAGACTAAGCGGATTGATACAGCCATGACAGCTAAGAAAACAGCCAAGCAGTAACCTCGGCAGCATAGTTCTTGTCAAGCCAGGCCCACATCAAGCCAGACTTTACTGACGCGTCACGCCTTCTGAACCCCTCTTCAATGATCGAATCAACACCAAGTCTCAACCCGTATCACTCCCAGAACCATGAGAATTTGTCATGTGCCCCCCGTTCCTTTAAGGGACGTCACAGATGACTGTTCCACTTCGCCTCTGGCGGCCACCATATCCGAACCCGTCGGCGACCGCCTTGAGCAGTTCACAGGGTTCTGGAGGCACATTATCTTGGAGAGCAGGGCACTTTCGACTCACGCCCATGGATAGTCCCAAGAGTGTAAAAGTACCCCGTCGTCCGAGGCAGTACTACGGCCAACTCCAGTTCCAAGGAGTCCACATTCCATGACAAGGACCAATGTGTAACACTGGAGTTGGAGAGAGATTCTCTTCTAAAACAGGCTATCCTTCATGTCCAACCCAGCCAGCTCAGAGTAGATTTTGTTTCAACATTCTTCTGCATACTCGGGAAGGGAACAGACAAATGACATCCCAGCATCAACTTGAAGCCACTGAACAAATTCGTCTGCACCAAGAAGTTTCACCTGGAAACCATCTTGATGGTGGTACAATCCCTACCGGTTCCATTCTGGGTCTCATCAATCAATCTTTGTGACGTGTACCTTCACATACCCATTCATGAACAGGACCACGAGTTCCTCAACTTCATGGCCAGTATGGTGGACCTGATGCCATGGTGCAGACTCTGCATGAGACCACTCCAGATCCATCTTCTCTCTTAATTTCGGCCCAAGACAGAACCCATCCACCTACATGTACCCAGAGCTCGAAATTACAGTCGGACATCGGACACTTTCCGAGCACTTATGGTGTTTGTTTTAACAAAGTTTTAACAACACAATACATGTACATGTATGGGATTATGGTGTCCAATTTATTATTAAATTTGTGTCAGAATTACATTATTTATGCCCAAGGTATTATCAGGGCTGATCAATCACCGGCCCATGTCATTAAAATGTACTTGCACAGACCCCATAATACTTTGTGCTGTCACAGTGGTTAAAACATGTTCGCAAAACTCTATGCATTAAATGAAGCTGTTCTGTTTCCCGCCGTGCCGAACCCATGCAAAAGAGTTTGTGATGGAAATGTAGCAACCAGTACCACTCTCTACTGTACATGGACATAAACTCTCTTCATCGGTCGTACACGTCACGAATACAAAAGGCTGCAAGCTGGAAAGAAATCAATGTTAATTATGTTGCAAGAGGTTTTCTGCAAGTTATATTTGTATTTTCTGTGTTCATGAGTGTAATTTGAGGTTGTTCTGCGCATGGCACAAGATTTAGCACCCGCTGGTCAAGATGCATCACGCGCGCTTACCACGTGATACACGGACATTGTTGGCCAGTTTGCCGTTGTGATTGTGTGAATTATTCATAATTTTCTTGTGAATTACCATATGTAGAAATTTTTACATAGATTGAGACGGGTGTTCATCACTTTTTGAGATACTTTTTGAGGCTGTCGCCCCCACTGATGCCATTAAATCAGCACAAAATTGTCCTCAAAGAAACAGAAATGCATACAGTAGCACAACTATATCATGTATTTTTTGACCTGACAAAAGACTACATGTATGCAGTAGATGTTAGTTAAATAACAATAATTATGGATTCTGAGAAATCTTTGGCAAGTGTCGATCCAAGTTGAGCAAGCAAATTTATGACATGGCCTGCCCGATACCGCAACCCCCTCCCCCCCAAATTAAAATCATCGCAGTCTGTGCCCTAACAAGGATTGCTCAATGCGGCTGCATGTGCAGTTCTGGTACCGGTAAGACAAGGGGAAAAAATGTGAATTTTGACCCCTGACACTGCACGTTACAACATCAAGAAATGGTAATGGCAGAACAAAACTGATTCTGTTTTGACATTTTATCCGAGCACTTCTATGGCTAATTTCGCACTTACATGTAGTCCGCGTTTCAGAGGATGTCCACCAATATCTACATGTACATGTACGGTACTTAGGTGGCTAAAACACAGGACCGCTTTACTCTCCAAGCTTCCCTTCCGGCAAGCCAAACCTGAGGCAGTTATATCAACTGATGCATTATCCCTCGGATGATGGGCCTCCCTTCCTCCTCATCAAGTGCCAGAGAAATGGGATGCCAAATTCCAGAGAAATCACATCAACGTCTTGGAACTGCAAGCTGTCTTCAATGCCCTACATCATTTCCTTGCACACATCAAGGGGAAGAACATCCTGGTCCACTCGGACAAGTCCATGGCGGTAGTGTGCATCAATCACCAAGGCTGTACTCACTTCCCCGGCTGTGCATCCTGACATGGGAAATCTAAGATTGGGTGATGGATGACTCAATCAGCATGCAAGCAATCCACATCATGGGGCCTGACAACACAAGAGTGGACACTCAGTCCCGCGGCACGACTTGTCTGATGGAATGGACCCTTCTCACTGACAAAGTCAAATCTCTCTTCACGTTGATAGAGGGACCTCACACTGATCTCTTCACATCAGTGGACAACGCCCAACTCCTGGTGTTTTTTAACGGAATGCCTCACCAGTGAGCTGGGCTACAGATGCCCTGCGGATCGATTGGACTGGCCTACTAACGTATGCTTTTTCTCCCATCTCTCTCTTTCCATGGGCCATATCCAAGATAGAGCATAAACACTGTCAGATTCTGCTCATCACCTGTTTCTGGCTATGTCAGCCATGGTTCCCCAGCAAGACCGGACATCCTCTGGCAGCTGAGGTCAAGAATTCTACGTCCAGCACCGGAAGATCTTCACCTACATGTATTGTGCTGGACATTGTCCAACAATCCTTCCACTTGGCAGTAACTTTCTGGCCATGCTGTGGCCATGGCCGCAGGGGGACAACGCTCTTCCATCCACAGTGTACAACGGCCAAGTCAGCATTTTGCTATGAGGTGTGACAAACATGCTGTGGGTCCAACCAATGCTCCTCTAAGTACTATAGCAGACTTTTTCATATCCTTTCTCAATTCAGATTGGCTTTGGTCACCATGCATTCCAGCTTCATTGACTGCACCCCTATTTCTGACATGTCTGATAACATTGCTCCTTACCATCTCCTGCATGGTACATGTACTCACAAATATTTTTATTCGCCTGTCAAGGAAGATACTCCCAAAATAGTGCTAAGCGTATGGTGTGTGCACTGTTGTGAGCATGGTGCACTGATATCCCAGGTGTACCATTGCCAAATGGCAAATATTTATACCTTCTCAAAGGGGGTTACATGTACACGTACAATACATGTAAGTTGAAAGAGTGACAACCCAAACCTGTTAGGAACAAGTCAGTTCGAAGAATTCACTATTCGAATCCTTCAGTTCAATCAAATATTGGAATATTCAGTTGTACCTCGCAGCAGACTGATGATAAACTACAGTACATGTACAAACAAGATTTATGAGATGAACAATACTTCTCGCCATGGCGAAAATTTCTATTTTCAATTTTTTGAGATTGTAAGATTTCTGTTGCTAAAAGTTTCATTTAAATCTGCTTGAAGCAAGCCTCCATTATAAAAAAAAAATTTCTCATAATAAAACAATAGAAAGTTGCCCCTTTTCATGAGTTTGGCACTCGTACATGTATATTCAAATTTGGAAAATTATATTCGATAATTGATCGAATATACATGTACATGTATGGCTATTCGGCACAGCCGTAAAACCTGTCAATTTTGAAAAACAGTATTGATTCCGGGATTTGTTATAATTTGTGGAATATTGAAATGTATAATTTGTTCAAATTTGAAAGCAAATAAAAGTTGATATAAGAAATTAGATGACAAGGGTCTGTGTGTCCATTACATGTATAAAACAAATATTGAGTGGCTTTAAATTGTCAAATGGGAGAAATATGATCACTTTGTAAATTCTAGACTTTTCTATTTCACTCGGCTTTGATTCTTGAAACAATTCTTGAGTCTTGAGTCCAAATTTTACCTTGTGATACATTGTACATGTACATATAAATATTCCCCGAATCCACTCCGAGTTACATCAATGTTTGTATTCATGAAGACCTTTGAATTCTTTTTGTATTCAGAAGCCAAAGACACACGAGGAAGAAGAAAAACCTAAGCCAACAAGATTAGCAATTGGTGAGGGAAAAGTGTTTGTCATATTCCATTTAGAACTACATGTACAGGGACCTTGATTAAATACAGTACATGTACATGTACATTTGGCACAACAAATAATTAATTTAATGCACATGACTGGTATATTATGCCAACCTACGTGTACGTGTACACTGTATACAGGTACAGTGTATTCTGATTTTTTCTTGTCCAAGTTTGATTTTGAAGTGATCCAACTTTTTTAATTCATTGGTGTCATGTACATGTAAGTCCAGTTGCAGGTGCTGCTTAATGTATCAAATGCTTTATTTAAGATGCATATTTCTGTAATAGAACAATAAAAGTTTACCATGTCTTGTGAAAATCCCTATCAAGCTTTGGTTACCCTTGTTTGCTGCTACATGTACATGCTGTAAACCATTTCTGAGGGGTGTTGTGGTCTGTATACAATAGCATCATTTTGGAAATCATGAATCTACATGTACACTGTACATGTAGATCAAGGTGAGGTATAAGGTTTTTAGCTCACTTAATGTCTGAGTGGAAGTACATGTACATGTACATGTAGGTTTCAATAACTTTCTCCATGTACATGTACCTGTACATATACTTGTACAATACGTACATGTACAAGTGGGAGTCTCTTGGACCACAGAATCTCTTCTAAATTTTCCTCTTTGGAGACCAAAGCCGCTAAGCATTACACTATTGCAAAGAATTATCTATAATTGAATAAAGTTCTGGCATTATCTTCATAAAATGAACCAAATTCCAACTCCAAATGTCATTTTTCAAAACTTCTAAGTGACTTTGATCATGTAAAATACAAATCAGCACCTTC